CGCGGACCCATTATTATGATGGTCAAACCAACCATACAGTTCATCCAAGGAACAGACGAGCTAACGGTGCCAGATGTAAGGCTCACTAAATCGAGAGATGGAACAAATGGCATGGCTATCTTCAGGTTTGATCAGCCCTCAGTTTTCGATTCTTCTGGTGAAGTTGGTGACATCACAGGCTTCTATATGATTGATGAGGAAGGTGTACTTCAATCGGTTGATGTGAGTGCCAAATTTATCAATGGGAAGCCTTCGGGAATTGAAGCCAAGTATGTAATGCGATCTCACGGGAGTGGGAGTGGGATAGATTCATGAGATTCATGGAGCGGTACTCCAATGCTAATGGTTTGCAATTCATTAAAAAATGAGTCATTGTGCTAACTCTTCTCTTTTCCCCACTCTTCTTTTTCCATTTGTCATGAAGTTGGCTTTTGTATTATAGTAGAATAATGGATTCATGTGCATGTAAATCTATTCACATACACATATCCTTCTGAGTTCATCTGAATTGCAAAAATTTTGCTCTTTCTGCTGTTGTCTAGATCTTACCAGACTCTTTCTTGGAACTGAGTTCATATAGCTCTTGGTTATATGACTTCCTATAGTATGTTTATCTTGCTTTGAAGTTAGGCGAGCAATACCATGGAGCATTACATTATTGCCAGCATGTGTCAACCTGCTTTATCATTAATATTACTTCTTGATAGCTTATTCATGGATGTCTCAGTTTATGTACCTTCTGTAATTGTGTACTGCCTTACTTCACAATCCCAAATTCTGTTTCTCTTAAGGCTTTGGTGCGGGAAACTTTATATCTATTAAATAACACATACTCGGTTTTGAAAAGACAAGTACTTAATAGAATTTTTTTTAATACAGCTAGGTCTGACCAATTATTTAGCAGAGTACTATATTAATGGTCTGCCTATCAAGAAACCACCTCGAAACTTCGCCAACGACTTTGCGAGAGATAAAGTGTTTGAAGCAATGATACTGGGAAAGCAAGGTCTACGACAAACTGAATTGCCATATTCTATAGCTTTCTTGTCCCCTCTGCTATTAAACCTTCCAAGTTACTGCAATGGGGCTTCTGACCCTGTAGGAGCCATTCTGAGAATGAACCCATGTTAAGTGTCCTTCTGCAGATGTCATCGAATCAGCTCCTTTCACCTTCCTTGATATAAACCACACCCTGTAATTCAACCTTTGATATATACGGTCGAATACCAGGCGCCTGGGTTTTACTATCACTTTCACTCCTTGAGGTGCCATAACCTCCAATGAGTAGGTGGAGTTAGGACTTCCCACGTTAGTTAGTCTCCTGCTGAACTTCTTCATACTCATTCCGTCCTTAAAGATCACAGAAAATGATGGATAGTTAAGGCTGAAGCCTTTGTTCGCCCGCAAGATATCATGGCAACTCACTTTTCTGTGAGTTATGCTGAAAATTTCTGATGACGTATATCCAAGTGTGCAAAGATGAGTGACATAATCATCTGGTCCGATATCATAAACGAGACCTGGGTTTATAGCTCTCTCTGGATTCACATGGCCTGCTCCCATGGCAAACACACTTGCTGGTTTATCTCCATCAAGTATGGGGCTTCCTGCCCGGTCGGTTACTTCAGCTGTTGTCATTATCGCAGACTTGATAGCTGCTGGGCTCCATGTTGGGTGTGCTGAGCGGATGAGAGCAGTGATTCCACTGACATGAGGACAAGACATTGAAGTACCTGACATGACGGAGAAGTTTACTCTTCTAGAATCTTCCGGAAGGGCTGTGGGACCCAGGTTTTGAGGCCAAGCAGCAATGATATTGACACCTGGAGCAATTATATCTGGTTTGAGGATTGAAGGGTTAGTAAAACTTGGTCCTCTGGCTGAAAATCTTGCCACCGCTGGAGCCCTGGACCTTCCTATAACAGTTCCTTCAAATTCAAGCCGAGCAAGGGGCCTCTCTGTGGAGTTTATATAAGCTTTTAAGCGAATAGATTCATCAAAGCCTATCAACGTTGCAGGAAGGACATGAACATCAACCGAATCCTCTTCCAAGTTTATCGCTGTGTTTGCCAAAATCATGGCAGCACCACCTGCTTCCTTCACAACTTGACCTTTTTCTGCTCTCCCATTGATGCCTCTATCACACACCACCATTTTACCCCTAACTTTGTCCCTTGGAAGAGACCCTGCGAGGCAAAATTGACTCATCCTATCCCCATCAGTCAGATAAACTAGCTCGAGTTCTTTGCCTGTGCTCATAAGTCGGTTTGCTGGATAAATGGATTCTCCATAGAGAATTCGCCCATTTCCCATGCGAACTGTAGCTGGGAATTTTCTATCCAGTGTGCTGGCACCAACAGTGGCAATCCATGGGGCTTCATTGGCAACAGACATTGCCATCGGGCCATTGTTTCCAGCTGCACAGACAACCGCAATCCCATGTTCCATCGCTCGAAAGCTTCCAATGGCGATATTATCATTGTATAGAGGTACCGGGAAGCCACCTAGAGACAAGGAGAGAACGTCCACGCCATCTCTAATGGCTGCATCCATAGCAGCTAGGATATCAGAATTATAGCAGCCATTGAACCAGCACACTTTGTATACTGCAATGTGAGCCTGAGGAGCCATTCCTCTAGCCACACCAGAAGCATAACCAAGGACATTAGCCGTAGGCACTGATGCTCCAGCAGCAGTAGATGAAGTGTGAGTGCCATGGCCAGTTGAATCTCTCGGCGAGAGATACTCTGCAATTCTTGAAGGTGAAGCTGCAAGATGACCTTTGGTGAAGTACCTTGCTCCAACGAGTTTTCGGTTGCAATGGGAAGAGTTAAAGGCCTGACCGTTCTGGCATATGCCCTTCCATTTCTTGGGAATTGGAGGCATTCCGTGATCATTGAAGCTTGGACTCTCTGGCCACACTCCTGTATCAAGCACCCCAATTATGGTTCCACGGCCAAAACTTGACCGATACCAAGCGTCTTCTCCCCTGGGGTTCAGTCCTAAGAACTTGTAAGAGTAGGTGGTTTGAATCTGGATCTTGTCGTCCGGTCTAATGGAGATAACATCAGGGAGGCTTTGCAAGTGCTCCACTTCAGACTCTGTCAACTGAACTGCAAAACCGTCCATGGCGGAACGGTATGAGTAAAGGAGGCGACAAGAAGGGTCGTTGTCATCAGACAAAATGGTCTGCTGTAAAAAGGAAAGATGCCATTGGAGCTTGGAGGTGAAGAGAGAGCTGGTTGTGCCATGCGGGTCTAGCTGAACTATGTAAGTTGCTAAAGAATCTGCATGGATGGTGCGAATGAAGTGGAACAGAAGAGTGAGAAAGAAAAAGTGAACTTTTTGGGATTCCATGACTGGTAGTACGAGAATTGTATGTGGGGTGCATGATTTGGTGGGAAGGTAGGAGGGGGTATTTGAAGGCGTAAGGGGAGAGAATTGAAAACAGGAGAGCGAGGGAACATGAAGCTCGTGAAGTACAAGAGCTCTTCATCACGAGGATCCTTTGTGAAGGGAGCGAGAGAAACAGAAAGAAACGAGACGGGAGAATGATTTCGGAATCGAGGAGCCTGCTGTGACCATCACGAGATGTTTAGGTTAGCTTTAATAGAAGCTTAAGTAGCCGTTAGTTTCAAATTCTCTCAGTTCACTTTGGCATGTAGATATTAGGATTTGCTATGCTTAGCTTCCTTTTACCCCCTGCCAAGGCACCATAAATCTATCGTGCGAATTTGCATTTAATGCGTCCTCTGTTCAATTCGGGATCAAAGGCTCCATCTTCCGCTGGGGGGGGTCGCGTGTTTTATAATGTGAAACGACGTTATTTGTATCTTTATCATTAATTTTCAAGTCAGAATTCAATGATCAAGACATGAAGAATGACACATAAATTTAATCCTTTTAATATCCATAAAACTTGAATTAACTGGGATATAGAACAGTTTATGCAGTTGCACAATCCAAATCACTTCACAAATCATGAATTCCATGGCCATCCTCTAGTGCTGCTTGCTCGAAAATCGCATAGATTTTTTCAGAGAATTATTCAACTAGACCAAAAATGGCAACCAGCTCAATTGGAAAATATGAAGGAATTTTCATCAAGATTAAAGGGGTCGATGATGAAGAGTTCAGCAATTCACCGCTAAAGAATACTCGCGATATAATCTATTTATTTTGTTTTATATGCTTTATTTTGCGTACCTCAAATATTTTCAAACTTCTAAAATATTTTAAAATCTGCTCACTCAGATCATATATAATTTAAATTGAGATAAAATGCAAATTTATTCTGAAAGTTTTTATTTAAAATTGTCAGACACCTAATTCTTTTTCATATTATTTTAGAAATTTAAAAACTGTCATAATTTTGCCTCCTACTATTAAAGATAGCAGCGTTCAATATTAATATTTTAATGATTAATGTTAGTGTTTTTAATCTTTGCAGGTATTTCAATTACATGCATAAAAATTAAATTTTATTTATAAGATTTAATATTTACTTCTTTGTGTTTCTTTTATAATTAATATAATTTTATATATAGACCTCTTTTGTCAAATTAACCGGGTACAAAGGAATCCAATGATCTACAAGTGAAGATCTTTTTTTTTGGGAAAAATTCGGAGAAAATTCTCAGTTAAAAGTTTTATTAGTGAAAATGACCTAATAAATTTCTATATTTTGTATTAATATGTTGCGAATTTGTGTACAAAATTTTGATACTCTAATGTAAGTTTCTCTCACCACTAAAATTTTAAATGGGGACCTTTTCCAATTTTCTTTTTCCCCCCAATGTTAGTAATCTTGATCAAGTATGCAATTAAGAAATTATTTAGAATAACTTATAAACATTTTTTAATAATAATTTATTAAATATGAAGTAGGTATATTAAAAAAATTTTGTTTTAGAACCTGAAACATATATATATATATATATATATAAGTAATGCCAAGTACTATCACAATAAATATACTAACTGACTTGCTCACTGCATGGGCACCGATTACAGAATTCTTAACAATCCTCCCACTCCAAGAATTACTACAGTTTCTTGATCTAGTCTTGTCATTCAAAAAGAAAAGAAAGGGCTCCAACTGAGATGAGATCAGAACAGCGTGCAGAAACTCGGTGGCATGGGGCTTCTCGCATCTGAGTCTGATCAACGGGGTGTGTGCCGACACTATTGCACCGACAAGGAGAACCACCGTATCCAAAGAGTAAGCGTACTTGGCACCCCAATAATGAGCAAACATTTGCAGGTACTTCTAAAAACTGCAAGCAAAATAAATCAACCTGCCGGATTACTGGAAACTCACCTGGTCATATCCATAAAGACAAACGGAGGCAGCGCAGGTAAGGGGCAAGGATTAGGGCACCCCCCAAATAGTACGAATAGTAACACTGCCATTTTCCCAGAACCACCATGTAAACAGTGCCATTAAGGACAAGTGTCCACTGTCCGCCTTGTCATTAAAGTTTACCTGTCATTTCTCCAAGGCCATCCTCAGCAACCTCAGATTAAATGTACGCAACAGTAAAGCCTTGAAGAATAGGTTTGATTAGCTAATAACAAAATTTAACGCACCCGTTTCTTTATCCAAAGCAAGTTGTCAGACAGGCAGAAACAACAACTGTGGAACCAATGAAACAGATGATTGTTTCTGCTTTTATAATTATAACCCGCTAGCTACAAAATCCCACAGGTCTGTAGACCA